CCACTGCTCATCTTCCACCAACAATAAATTACACCTAGTGACCCAGCACTTGCAACTCCCCTCCCACAGCATCCCAGTTCATACTTTGAGAAGAACCTAGGCCAGAGGTCACCAGCCTTTTTAGATCCATGGGCACATTTGCGAACTGCAGAAAGGGTCATGGGCACCATATAAACAATGCAATCTAGCACACTCTGCAACCTATTCTATTGGATACAAAACAATGCTTCTTTCAAGCCAAATTTCAGCAGGAGAAGAAAGGCTGCAAGTGTTAGGGAAGGCCTCTGCAGGTGCAGGTGCGCCTGCAGGCGTTGTGTTGGCAACCCCTGACCTCAGCACTAACACCAAATTTCACCATATGTACATGGTTGTAAGAGTCCTGAAATAAAAGCATGCATTAAACTCATGCCCTGCCAATTATTACTTTCGTCTTCTCTTGCACTTCCAGCTGTATAGAAAATCCATCTTTTTCTTAGTTGTATAGTGAAAATCAATGTTTATGGAGCTGGTCTTGTCCTTTGACATTTGCTGCTTCCAGTAGCCTTTTCATGGCAGTATTTTGTGTTCCCTTTTATTGTTATTTTATTTTATTGTTATATTCCATCTTTTAATACTAGCTAGTTTCTCCAATACAGCGTACAATCGTTTTAAAATACAAATATGGTCTACTTAGTTAAACTCGTAAACATGCTAGAGAAAGGAGATAGCATGGGAATATATTTATTGAGCAATTAAGGGTTAATGGAATGACAGAATACATGACAAAGTGTGTTCCTATTCTATGAAATTAGTGATGGCATATTTTGTGGCGGTCTTTTGAGGTTAAAGCACAATAAATTTGTTATCCCACTGGTGGTGGTCCTATAGTCATTTTTAGATTGCATTCCTTATATTACTAGTACACTGAATGTTTGTTGTTGCTTTAGTCAGGGGTCAGCAAACTTTTTCAGCAGGGGGCTGCTCCACTGTCCCTCAGACCTTGTGTGGGGCTGGACTATATTTTGGGGAAAAAACTGAATGAATTCCTATGCCCCACAAATAAGAGATGCATTTTAAATAAAAGGACACATTCTACTCATGTAAAAGCATGCTGATTCCCAGACCGTCCATGGGCCAGATTTAGAAGGCGATTGGGCCGGATCCGGCCCCTGAGCCTTAGTTTGCCTACCCATGCTTTAGTGTATTCTATTTAATTATCATGTTCAGTGTTTCTTTTCTCCTTGTATTAATATTTTCTGTAAGATTGTTTATATGGATGACAAAAAGCAAATGATACATGAATAAAGGAGAAGGTGCTTTCTCCTATATTAAGTGATTTTATAGGGTCAGGCAGGCCTTGATAGCACTGCAGAATGATTAGTAGGGTGAGATTGGGAGGAAGGGGACACAGCACTTGCTGACATTGCTATTTTTGCTGTATAAAAAGACTCAAGGCTACTTTTTCACTGCAGTGTTTGAAAGTTCCCAACTTATTTTACCGAGCAATACTACAGTCATCATACTGGTAAAGGGTTAGCATCTTCTGGGCTGAAGCCAAACTGACTACTCAGCATTGGACTTTTTTTTTTTTTTTTAAAGAGCTTGCCAAGAGACCACAGAAGCTGTAAATTATGGATGGAAAATATTTTTAAAGGACAGTATTTGCAGACTAAATTTACCAAGTGCAGCTGGTTTGCTATATTTTCCAAATCAGATTTAAAAATATGATCCAGCTGCTTGCATTTTGCAATTAGCTAACATCCCGACATTATGTCAAAAATCCTAAATTGACTTCCTGGCTTACTAGACGCAGGGGACAGTAGGCATTAGCCTGGAGTCAGTGGTAAGTTGAACTTTACAATATTTTGGGAGGAATTCAACATCTCACAAAGTTGAAGCCCCTTAGCAGTGTACAAGTTGCACTAGCGGAATGGCTTATGCAACAAAAGGGCAGGACCCCTGCATGGTTCTTGTGGTTGCGCAACAGATTGCTGTAATTTGGATGCTTCCTGTTGCACAGTAAATTTCTGCCAGTGCAAGTGTTGTGCTGAATTTCATATTGCGCAGCTATTGTTCTCAACTTCAAACTGGTAGTCAGGGAACATTGAATCCGGAGAACACAAATGCATAGGTGCCTTCACATGCTCATTTTTATTTAGTATACAGATCTCATGAGAAACCAGTTGAGATATCTTGTATTGGAATGCCATTTCTTATTTTAATTAATGTTCTGTTCTAGCAGGGTAACTATGTCATTCCATTAAGCTACTAAGGATTTTTATGGCATACCTTGCCAATCTATTTTCACCCAGTGATGCAAGTTGGTCAGATCTTTTACATGGAACTTGAAGCTCAGAAAGCAAAAGGCAATTCATCTTAACATAATACAGAGTCAGAATTGTGGGTCTTCCAAGATCCAAGATTCCATTTAGACCAATCACCGCACTGAGACAGGAACTTGTTGTGCCTATGTACTTCAACTACTAGAATAATACTACATAGACTTGGTCTGCTTCTAGGGAACCATCTGATCAGAAAGCAGGAAGGACCAAATAAGTTGTGCAATGGCTCAAGCATGTCTGTCATTGTTCCTTCCCTTCTCAGTTCCCTACCAGTTCTGCATAGGATTGAGCTTTATTTGAGCTTTCCAAGATCATTCCAGTGGAAAGTGTGCTGCTTAAATACTTGAACACTTGTAATCAAATAATCCAAATGCCAGAAAAAATAGAGGCTTTGGTAATATTCTAACTTTGACGTTCTACAGAAGTGATAGGCTACAAATTCAGGGCTTTGCCAAAAGAGACAAATAACAAACAAACAAATAACATTTTACTTCATGAAGTTAAATATTTTCCTTTAATTTGGCTCCAGTATTATAATAAATCAGCATAATCTGAAAGCCCAATTCAAGATGAAAGCCTTATTGCACACTGAATACCGGTTACTGAATACTATTATGCACTGAATAGTTTTCTTTTTTCATGGTAACCAGTTTATCTTAAGACTGATTAGCTGTATTTTCTTAATGGCAACAACACAGAACAGCAAGCATATTTAATCATATATATATAAAGTTTCTAATGAACCTTGTAGGTATGAGAAACAGCTTTTCCCAAAATCATGTTGTGATTTCCAAGGGTGAACTTTATTTTGGCTTTCAAATTAATTTTTTTCCATGAGCATTCACCAATGTCTAATGTAAAAGAGAAACATATAAATCAGCCAGTGTGTGTCCTAAATCAACTTTACTTTCAACTTAAATTCTGCAATAGTGACTTTATACATAACCTATAACTTGCCCTTTCATTTGCGAGGTGATATTTGGAAGGGACAAATGGTGGCTTTCACTTAACCTTAGTCAATTAAGTTTGAAACATGATTGCTATTTACATTATAGCCTCAGGAAATGACCAATGAGGGAAGCAGCTTTATTTAATTTGTTTCATTCCATGTCAAGTCTTTGTAATAAATTTAACTTCACTAACTCCAATGAGGTTGGAAATATTACGAGGAGACGAGCAACCATTCCTACCTACATCTACCTCTGACTGGTGCACAAGCAAGGCTGGATTCCAGATACCTGGTTTTCTGATTGGTACCCAGCTCAAGAACATGCTTCTTCTCATTTTCACCATGTTACAGCATATGTTACATGTGTTGACCTTAACTATACCTTAACTGTGTTGACCTTAACTGACCTTAACTATCCACAGACATGAACCCAGGTTCCCATCTTTACAAAGGATTAGGGTTAAAAGCATACATTTAAAACACATTCAAAGCACATGACTATCCCCATAGAATCCTGGGTACTGTAGTTTTGTAAAGGAGGTGGAAATTGTAGCTCTAAGAGGAATACTACAGTCCCCAGGTTTGTTAGGGAGAAAGTCATGTGCTTTAAATGTATGCTGTGAATACACCTGCTGTTTGATTGGATAATGTGTTATGTGGCTATAAGGGGTACAGATGTAATGCTGGAATGTGGTGAGGCTTATAAATGAGAGGGGTGGGGAACAGTGGAGGCAGTTTGTGTTCCAGTGTCTACCTCCTATTTTACAGAACTTGACCTCAGTACAGATGCCTTACTTGCCAAGTGGTATAGTTTTCTACCACTGGTGTGCTAGGTCTTTTCCGTCGATGAAAATGTGGCAACCTTCAGCCAGTCAAAAAAGTAGCACTAAGTTTCTGTTTCCTAAGAAAATGATTTTTGTTACATATTCCCTGAGAACCTTGTTGGCCCTTCTGGTTTCTGTTCTGCTGGATTACTTTTGGTTTCTGTTATTGTCTCCCCCTTGGCCCTCAGAAAGGGTTGGGTTCAGCAGCACCCGCAAGCTGCTCACCTGATCACAAAAAGGCACTACAACTCTTTTGTTTATATTATCAGTGTATTTTTAGGGTTTCCAAATCATGTAACATTTGCAGAAGCATAATAATTAGATCAGAATAAGCAGCATAATTCTGAGCTGCCCACTAGCCCAGAAAGGCTTTCCTCCAGGAAAGTGCAGGCACTCTCAATAGAAGTAGTCTCAGAGATCACTCTAAGCCTCTTGTTGACTGGCTGGATGTGCATCTGTTTGTGTACATTGAAAGAAATAGGTTTCAGATTCTCCCCCGTGGACACCTATGCGTGGAGAAGGAGCAAAGCTATCACAATCTTCTCTTTAGCACCCTGAATGTGCACACATTCATGGTAAGCCATGGTTTCACCTAGTGTTACATGTGAACAACGTGTGTGTGTGTGTGTGTGTGTGTGTGTGTGTGTGTGTGTACTGAAAAAAATATTTTGAAATAAGTCTTCACTACATAGCAATAAAACAAATCATTAACTAGGGGTGAACTACAGCAACCACAAAATAAGACAAACCAGGCACAATCATTCAGATTACTTCAGGTTACCATATTTTGAAAAGCAAAACACATTCTACTTGTAACTATGGATCACTATGATGACTCTACCCATGAAACAGAGGACATGTGACAACCCTGCATGCCAAATGAATTAAATAAACAAGCAAACTTACCCACATTAACCATATGGTAGCTTGGTCATCGGTATTGACAAGTTCTTCCCTTATATTTTTTTCTACTGGAGGCTATGGTGTATGGTGTGTTTCAGCAGCTTTTTCTTTGTGCAAAGGCTGTTGCTCTGTATGTAGGGAACAGAGGCAGAAAGTAAATGGTTCCATAGTCCACCAGTTTAATGGTTAGAAGATAATGGTTACTGTACAATGTGGATGATTTGGCAGTTTGCACATCCAGGACAGGCTGTGTATCTGTGATAAGAGTCAACTTGTTCCCCGTTTGTGGAATTCTATTTCGAGCAAGGTTCACCTGGTGCCTTCATTATATATTTTTAGGCACCAGGAGAAAACATTCTTCTTCAACCAGGCCTTTTCTACAGCCTTTTAAATGTGTCTGTGGATAGGGGGGACATTATTGTTTTGCTGTTTTGTTTTACTTACTTACTTGTTTTTAGCCTGTATTTTATTCTGTGAACCGCCCTGAGATCTTATGATGAAGGGCAGTATATAAATCTAATAATAATAATAATAATAATAATAATAATAATAATAATAATAATAATAATATGATACTTGTTGATTCAATGCACACATCTGATTGGTGTTACTGATTAGCCACATTTCATGTGATAAACAATAGTGAGTAACCAAGAATTCAACTGTCTTCAGGGTGAATTCTAAATTGATTGCATTGAATTAGCCTTGCTTAGTGCAAAATGCAAAGATCTTCCATTCCATGTGCGAATAAGAGCTGTGGGTGCACGGAAAGGCACTAATCACTGGCACCATGGGGTTAATAAGCGTTTGGCTAAAATAGTTGAAAAGGTTGCTCTCTCAGTTGATATGTTTGTTCAGTTGAGACTTGTTGGCAGATGATTTAAGTAAAGCAACAGAGGCTGTGTCAAATAACTGTATTTCACAGAACACATGGCATGATGAAACTGAACATAGCCTGTGCTCCAAAGAAAACTGCAAAGACTAGCTCTAATTTTAAATGGCTGCTGCCATAGCTTATTCTGCAACAAAAAACAAAAACTGTTTAAAAACATTTGAAGGGTGTGGGCTTTTGTTCAGGTTTTTTGTTTGAGTGGAAGATTCATCCTGAGAAAAGCATGCCTTTTAAGTTGTTAAATACTGCCACTTTTATGTGGGGGGATGTTGTAATGCTGTAGTGTTCATGAGGAAAATATGTGCTTACATTTAGCTGTTCAATCTCTTCTTAAGGAGTTAGTAGAACTGTGATATATTGGGAGTGGTGCAGTATATACAGAACTTCTATGGTGTCAAGAGATTTTTGGCTATTTGCTGACTGAATAATGTTGTGCATGTATTTTGTGTCTTATCTGTATATGTACATATATAGTTGGGACAATGGAAAATGTGTTTGCTCTTGTTATTGATAGTAATAGGCAGACCCTCTCCTGCGCTATGTTCTGCTTAGAAGTGATCCAGTTGAAAAAATAGCCCAGTGGATGTCTAATGGAGTACATCTAAACTCAATCCATTTTTTTAATGAATTAGATTTGAATTGGCAAGGCCCTGGAGATCTCCTCTCACTTGTATAGGTACATGTTTGAGTCGCTTTCTTCCAAAGAATAAAACTTCATAGAAAATAATAATCACAGGTCCATTTTCTGTCTTTTTGTATTCTGATCTGTTGTAAATCATGAATAGGAACAATAATGAATTCAGAGTTAGGTACTGAATATAATGATAGAATGACAACACGGCTGTATTTTTCCGCTTAACTCAGTATGATCCCTGAGCCTTTAGATGAAGGCTTTAAATGTCACTGAAGATTTATATACACAATCTCAGTGTGAAGTTTTTTCTTCCCTAGAGAGTGGAAGATTTTGGAACAGTAAGCATGTCTGGTATGTTGTGGTCTTTAATGTTTCAGTTTGCTCTAACAACTGCTCCCTCCCTACCTGACAAGTAGCACAGAAACTGAACCAAGATGTTACAGCAGGTCCCGGAGGCTGCTTTGATAATAACTTGCATCTTCTCCTCAAACATGAGGAAGTGAAATAGGTGCAAAAAGGAGTTCATTGAAATTTTCTTTTGTTTTTATTCATGGTTAGAACTGACCCTAGAATAATACAGAAGGGGGGGGGGGAGACGTAATTGGCTGAATGCAAAGGACTCAGCAAGATGTTATCTTTGTAGTTTATTTTAGAGCAAAGTGATTAATACATTGCATGTGAGAAAGAGAAGGCCAGACATCTTTCCACAGACATCTGTTTATAATTTAAATACTGCAAGATATCTAAAAACACACACTGTATGGTGATTCTGACTCAGATCTGTAGCCACATACCCTGCTGTCCAAAGGACTGCTCCTACGCTATTTTTTTCTTCTTGTATGTTCCCAGTGTCTTGTGTTTTGTTGACAAGTGATTCCCACCCCCATAAAGGCTCCCAATGAAAAAGTGTAATGAAAACCTTGAGAATTTCTGTAGTTCTGCTGTAACTCTTTAATCATGTGACTACACTGGCTAACTTTAAAGTGCCAACGGAACTTTGTGCAGGAGTGTGTGTGTGTGTGTGTGTGTGTATGTATGATAGAGCGAGAGAGAGAGAGAGAGAGAGAGAGAGAGTTGGCCCCTTGAATTGTCAATCATGTAGCCACTTGTATATTCTGTTCCTTTCTTCGGATTTCCTCTTTTTTAGCTACTACAGTGGTACCTCCATTTACAAACTTAATTTGTTCCAGAGGTCCGTTCTTAAGCCGAAACTGTTCTTAAACGTAGGCGTGTTTTCCCTAATGGGGCCTCCGCCGTTCGGATTCCGTTCATCTTCCGGGGCAAAGTTTGCTAGCTGGAACACCTACTTCCGGTTTTCGGAGGTCATTCCCCGAAGTGTTTGTTAACAGGACTGTTCTTAGACCGAGCTACCACTGTATTGTCTAATGACAGATAGTATTATCTCTACATCTATACCTCAACAAATACATATTGTATAACACTGCTGTACAACTTGCAGGTATAATTGCCCAAGTCAAGTGTTTAAATTTAATCTACATGGTTCAGGGTATTGAAACTGCGCTTATGGAACTGATTTGTTCCCATTGCAATTATTTATCTTCCCTTGAATCTGTAAGTGCTTACTTTGGATATCTCTGAAGGGCTGTTACTTGCAAAATATTACCTCCTCTCTACTGAAACAAATAAAACATTTCTTAGTCAAAACCTATATTTTGAACAGCTTTATCTCTGCACAGCTTTGTCCAGATGAGATCTAAGACACTAAATCAGTAATACTTTATACAATACAGTAATATTGCAACTGTTATCACATTGTTAAAAATAGGACTGCGAGGGGAAAATGTTAAAACAAGAGTATCTATGAAGTTTAAAATGTTAAAAACAGGGGATCTCAGCTAGAGATTACATTCTTAAATAAGGAATATATATTATGTTACATAGGATTTTAGCATCCTGAAATAAGGAATGTCCATTATGTACCACAGACTAATACTGGTCAAGAACTAAAAGACATCCCCTTAAAATATGTAACACCTTTAAGAGCCTTCGTTTGCCAGTTGCTTCTTATTTAATGCCAGGATAGTATCCATATAACTTAAACCTAAATAGTTCCATGCACATTGCCAGTTTTGCATCACTTTTAGCTCATATTGTAAGATCTGGTTTCCCCTTATGCCAGCAGGGTTGCAAGGTACAAGGAACATGTTGGCATATGTACATATGTTCTGGGAGCCGGTTGTAATGAAGATTGGTATAATTGTTGGCAAATAGGCTACTCTGGATGTAAGATATGAATGCTGACCTTTATCTCCATTTTATGTTCATAGCCAATGTGACCTAATTCTCTCATGTGTGTTTAATTCTATATCAGTTGGTTGGCCACTCATTACGCATAGCACTCTCTCAGAAGGGCAGAAGGAGCATCTTGTTATTATTGTTGGATCTAAGAGTCTTAAATGTCATAGTTTCATTAACGCATGTCCTGCTATAAAGCTATAGCTCAACATAATGTATGTCCCTCAGGCTGACGCGAGAAGCGCGCGTCGACTGACCTTTGCGTTCTGCCTTAGACAGTATAAACGTCATTGGATTATAATTAGCCACTAGACCATCATCCTTATGAGTATGCATGTTCCCATTAAATAGGAGTTTATTTGGCAACATTCATGAAGATTTGGTATGTTTGGTACAAATATGAACCTTGTATTTCACTATAGAATATATTTTATGTCACACATTCTTTTTTAGGCTTTGTATGATTACTATTTTATTATCTTGTAATTTTATTCGTCTTGTTTTTATGGCTGTTTTTAAGTACAGATAAGGTGAACCCACAAAATCAGCATTTAGCAGCAATCAGCCCTTTGGAACTTTCTTCTTTGTTAAGGCTCCTTTTAAGGAAAGGGCTGGTCCTGTGATATTTAAAAAAATAAAGAAAAAAATTAATATCCACATTGCAAAAATTATACCTGCTTTTGCCAAGTATTTAACACTTATGTGGAATGAGAAAAGTCAGTGAACAATTTTTATACATCTTACATCTACAGAATTTTTATGGGGCTCTGTAATCTTCTGTTGAGCTCAAAGTTGAGAATGGGGTACCTAGTGAGGCAGCCCCCGGTGCTATTTTGCTGAAAGCCAAGTCAGCTAAGCCACCATCCCTGTCATGTTAAATGAGGATGGGAGTTGACATTTAGGCACATCTCACAGTCCAGGTTTTTAGAAAATTGCTGGTGTGTACTAAAAAAAAAAGGCCCTTGGTTTCTTGGTTTTTAGTTTGCTAGGGAGAGTCTAATAATATCCAGTAATTGTTACTACTTTCATTCAGTTCCAGAAGCAGAGGGATGTTTAAATGCTTTCTAGGTGAAGGCACAACAATTTCAGCAATATAAAATTGGCTCGATTCCTAGTTTTGCATTGAAAAGTAATAAAGCATGAGATACTGAGTGGAATCGTATGTCAGTAAAATTGTTCTACCTGAACAGTGTTGGAAGATTTTCGCATCTACTAGACTGAATGCACTTCCAAGATCTCATTAACTCAATCCCTAGGGACAAGCCTTTCTGGACAGATAGATACAGTTACTACACATCTTTCCAGACCACAGTAGGGAGGAGGCATTTTAATCAAGATGTTTCCTT